GGGAGAAAGATCAGGCTTTCTACTCCCGTAAAGATTTACACCCTCGGAAACCCTGTACAGGGTTGCTATGGGTCGGAACCGACTCCACGGCACTTAACAACAACATAGCCATGGAATAAATAAAAACTGACACCACACAGCTCCTGTCTGTGATGCTGGTACAGGAGGAAGACAAGAAAATGACCACTTACAACCACATGACCATCTGGGAGAACTCAGTCAATCGAATAAACCCTCAAGGGTGTCAGTGTAAGCTACACTAAAATAATCAAAACCAAGACTGAATAACTCACCCCCACTCAATGCCATCAAAGTGAATTGATTCATAGTGAGCACACTGGGCAGAGTAAAACCCTCCTGCCAACCTTATAATTAGCAGTCCAAAGCTGAATCCACAACACTAACAGGGCTCTCTGACTCTTTAATATAAAGTTAGATTTTATTCCATGTAGTCCACTAAAACAAAGAAGCAAGCAATACATTTTAAGACCTCTATATACAAACTCTGGAGTCCTGGTATGGCTGTGTGTGTTAATGCACCAGATAGCAAAGCCATTTGAACTGTAAGATCGGTGGTTCAAGCTCACCAGCTGCAACCTGGAAACCCTCTACACAGGGTCGCTATGGATCGGAACCAACTCAATGGCACTTAACAACAATATACAAACTCTAAGGAGTTCTGGGAGCATAGTGGTTACGAGTTGGACTGCTAATCTGAAGGTTAGCAGTTTGTAACTACCAGTGGTTTTTCAAGAGAAAGATGAGGCTTTCTGCTCCCCTAAAGATTTACAGCTTCAGAAACTCTATACAGGGTTGCTGAACCGACTCCCCAGTACATAACCATCACCTATATTTGAATGGCATTTTACAGTTTACAAAGAACTAGGTATTTTGTCATTATCATTCTGACATTTCACAGAATTGTTATCACCATGTTAGAAATGAGAATATTAAAGGTTAAGAAAAATTGAATTATTTGCAGAGGACTGAGATCAAACAGGTATGAGTTAAGACTTGACCTCAAGTCTTCTGACTTTTAGACCAATGCTCCATCTACTTCCCCAAAATAGCAATCATCTTGCCCTTATGCCCCAGATCAGAGGTCCTGAAACCTAAAACTGTAACATACAGCATACATATTATTGTTACATAGTTTATAGTATAAACATGAAAGTCTTTATGATAGTCTTGATTATCTCATTTCTATCTAATGGAATGCATGATAGGCTGTTATTTGCAAGGTTAGCTCAAACCCATCAGTCACTCTGAGGGACAAACAAAAGGTCATCTGCTCCCTTAAAGGTTTAGTCTGAGAAACCCTATGTAGGGTTACTGTCAGTTGGAATTGACTTGATGGCAGTGAGTTACCATACTTCATTTCCTTAACTGAGTCTACAATGATAATGAAGTCAAATCCAAGTTAACAGTGCTAAAAATATCACTTAACACAACACTCCCCTACAAGTTCTATGAATTGAACGTTTACTTAAGCAGACTTCAGTCTTCAAGGAATATTCCTACATAAACTATGTATTGAAAAGATGGGTGCCCAGCAGTAGACAAGGAAAAAAGGAATAGCATCTAGGTTCTGTCTACCAGGCATTCGTTAAGGAAGCTTATAAAAAAAGTGACTGAAAAGGGTCCAGAATTTCCTCATGCTCTACTGCCCAGACACAGATGAGTACTTTAGTATTTTCAGCAATCTGGTCCCCATGAACTACATGGAAGCAATGCGAATAGACACAATGCATTCACACTGAAATCTTGCCTAAGATGGCCCACACTCTCACCAAAAGTACATTCTGTACACAGATTTAATGTATGAAAATAAAATGGTATGTATTCATATAAATAGAACAAGTTAGTGAATCACTTCACCTCTACCCCAAAAAGAACGGTATACTGTATTCATGTATGTCTTAGTGTAGAGGCTGTTAACCTGGGAGCTAGGGATGGAATTCAGGGTCTCCCTTAACTCAAGACAAGGAAAAAAAATATTTCTATTCTTATTTTCACTAACTGAAAGTTAGCTTTTCCATCAATTATGATGTAGGCAACAAGTCACAATTATATTAGCAATATGCATGTTTCAGTTAATTCTATGCTCGTTACAAACATCTCAAAACATCATTTTTACTCTTCACTATATGATTTTACTTATTAGATCTGCTACCAAATCTAGTTATTTGTTAATAAGCATGTATCATAAACCTGCTCAATATTATTTAATATTTTGATTATAGTTGTTAAGTGCTATCCAGTTGGTTCCAACTCATAGCAACCCTGTGTAAGATTTCCAAGGAGCAGCTGGTGGGTTTAACTAAATAGTACTTTAATACAATTTACCTCCTTTGTAGTCCTGTTTTTTTACCTCATGCATTATATGCTTTACCAGGTTACCAAATGGGTCCATAGCACAAAAAGGTTAAGCAATTTACTTCCATTTGTCTCTCTGAGTTCCTAGTTGAGAAATGAAACTCAAGTATAATTTATCCTCAGCTTTTTATATTATTTTTGAATTATAGTCCAAATACAATACACCCAAAAAACAAAATCCACTGCTATCAAGTCAATTTTGACTAAAAGCACATAATATTGCAACTTGTTGCAAATCCCTCTAATCCAGTCAATTATTCCATGGCCTTGGAAGTCATAACTGTGATTATATATAAATAGCGAGACGTTGTTGTGTGTCAAGTCGGTTCTGACTCATAGTCACTCTGTATAGGATTTCCAAGAGTGGCTGGTGAGTTTGAACCGCTGACCTTGTGGTTCCTGGTCCAGTGCTCACTCTACAGCACCACGCTAAGGCATTAGTTATTCCTTTATTCTAAGTACAGCTTACCTCTTTCATAGTATAAACATCTTTTTGCGCACCAGCAGACTTTAACAACTTCAAAAGCAATGGCTTTGGTCTAACCTATTTAAAAAAAAGAAAAAAAAAAAGAGTTGCTATTAGACTTCCAAAATTAGTCCAGATTAATTTTGACTATAAAACTGTAATTGCAGAAGATGTGTAACTAAAAGGGGAGAATAGTTAAACTTTCATTTTGGGAACAATCCTAGGACCACCAAGAAGAACATGAGTGGAGTGTGAAATCTCTACCTAGAAAAGCTACAACAGCAGAAGAGACAGTGGCAGAGGAGTGGCCTGGAGAGACAGAGCGGGTTCTAGGCCAATGACTGACTGAGTATGGCTGTCTGCCTACGGGTAGGAGGATGAGTTGCAAAATGTGCCCTTTGGATATTTAAATGACTATGTGTTTTTTGTTTGGTATGTGTGCATCAAATATTTTTCCTTTGTTCATTTGTGAAATCTAAGAT